CCCGGCACAAGTCAGGGTCTCTGTTTCTTCATCTAAAAATGAGGCTCCTCAGACCTTCCTCAGAGATGAGCACTTTCTCTGATCCCTACCCACTTTCCGATAAAGATATACCACAGCTACGTCATCCCACAGCACTCGGCTCTCTTCCGCTGTCTTCAATTAGGAAGCAGCTTTCCTAAAGAAACAGACTAGCTAACAGAGTGAGCACTTGCATGTGCTTGACAATTCTTAAATTCTTTAATCTTTAGGCTACCCTATCGGAAAAAGAAACAATTAGTATCCATTGATATAAAGGAGGAATAGTATCCATTGATATAAAGGAGGAATAGTATCCATTGATATAAAGGAGGAAAGGGTGCAGAAGGGTTCATTTATTTGCTCAAAGCCACACAGCAAATACATGTCAGGACTAAGATTCAAACCCTGGCCCATTCGATTCTGGAGCCCTAGTGTCTACCCAGCTTTCTCCGTTCCCTCTGACTGATAAAAGAGAACTTATAAAGATGAAAAACCTGGCGCTTACTTGACAAGCCATTTGGCCAGAACCAACGAGCACCCATAGGGATGGAAACCTCCGGGTGCATCAGGCCACACAAGGCTGTGAGCTCTCATAGGCAAGGATTCAGAGACAATGGGGCACATCCCAACAGGTCGGGAGCATCCCAGCTGGCTTCTTCACCTCAGCCTCCTACTTCTTACCCAATACGATAATTCCCTATATAAAACTTGCTTATTTAGACTGCAACAAAAGCAACACAGCTTTCTGATCTATACACACACACACACACACACACACACAAATATATATATATATATATGGCCACCACTGCTTGGAAAAGAAAAGAAAGAGGTAAAGGATGGACCAGTGGCTGATGGGAACAGAAACAGGTAGAAAGTGCTAAGACTCAGTTCCAGCTCCTAAACACACCTTAAGTTTCTCTGCCCTCATTCATTTGCCATGCTGTGTCTGGTCCCCATCGCCACCACCAGCCCAGTCCTATCATCTCAGCTGGACTACCCCTACCAAAAGGCGCATATTCTCAAGACTCTAGCAGCGTTTGTCTCCATCATCTAAATGGTGCTTAGCCTACTCCTGAATTCAGGGATCAGTCCTGTCTCTCCAACTAGCTGGGTTCCGTGGAAGCAAAGCCCGGGTTTGCGATCTCTCAACAGGATTCAGCAACAAGACATGCGCCCTCACTCCCCTCATCTCCCATTCTCTTCAATACCGACTTGAGGATGTTGCCCAATCAGACCTCTCTCTGTTATCCTCACTTGTCAATCTCCATGCATTTGCACGTGCTGTCTTCACCCAGGAAGGCCCCTTCTTTCCCACTCTGCCTGGCCAAATCCTGCCCAGTCCTCAAGGCCCAGTGCAGTACAGTAGAAATGGCCATTTACCATTCGGAAAGACCTACATTCAAAGCCTAGCTTGGCCATCTTCTGGTCATACAATCTGGATAAGGGACGTGACTTCTCTGACGCTCGGTTCTATCAGATTAGGGGTTGAGGATACCTACCATGAAGGTCTGTGGGGAAGAATGAATGCAATTATAAAGAGAAAATGGTGAATAAGTATGTGCCCATTTTAATAGTAGATGAAACACATATTTCTAGACAGCATAACTGACTTAAAAATAAGTGACTTAAAAAGAAATAGAAAGTGTAAAGAGTCCCTTGTATCTTTAAATAAATTGACTTGGAAGTTTAACTTTTTTCTATAAAGACAATGAAGCAATCTTGTTTTACCCTTCCCAGTAACAACCTTTCAAGGAGGCTATCAGTCCAATCCTCCAAGATAAGGAAAAAGCATTCATCTGATGATGATGTAGCTGCTGCTGCTGTTGTTATTGTGTGTCAGCAAGCCAAGATGAGACTATTACAATACTGGTACCAGAATTCAGACAATAAAGATTAATTACAGGCTAACCTCATTCGGGAACACAACTTTAAGGATCTTGAACAATATTACAAGTATCGGGACTCCAACAATATAAGTGTGTGTGTCTGTCTGTCTGTGTGTGTCTGTGTGTCTGTGTGTGTCTGTGTGTGTGTGTGCATATAATACATCAAGACCAAATTGGATTCATCCAAGGTATGTGTGGTTGTTCGAATATTTAACACTCATTTTACCAATAGATTAATGTTTTTACATATGACCATCGTAACAAATGCAAGAAAACATTTGATAAGTCCAATACCCATTTAAAATAAAACCTCTTAGCAAACTAAAACCAGAAGGCAATTTTCTTTCTACACCAAAACTGAGCAAGCTTCATTCTCAGCAATTAAATGTTAGAAGCATTTAAAACCCGGAAAAGAAGACAGGCCTTCCTACTGTCACCGCTTCTACGGGGCCTCCTACTGGAGGTCTCAGCCAGGGCGATGTCGAAAGACCAGGGAGAGAAGAAACAGAGCTGTCGGCATTTGAAGATCCTTTAAACGTACTCAGAAAAATCAGAACGATTCTAGAGACATATTAGAAAGAATAAGAAACTGCATCAAAGAGACAGATGTAAGATCAACCAGCAATAGTTAGAAAATGAAATTTTTTTAAAGTATACCATTTATAATAGCAATCAAACTATAAGGATGCTAGGAACTTATCCAACAAAAGGTGTGTAAAATTTCACAGGGAAGATTATTGAAAGACATTAAGAACCTAAATAAATGGGGTTATATATTCATGGGTAGAAAGGCAATTTCACAAGATGTCAGTTCTTCCCAAATTGATCTACAGATTTAATACAAATCCAATCAAAATTCCAACAAAGTTTTCCCAAGGACTTGACAAGTGGGTTCTAAAGTTTCTAAGAGAATGAGGACAAAAATAGCCCAGATATCCTTGGCAAAGAACAAAACTGGGAGGGTCTGCCTGATGCATCTGCTATCAGACGTAGCTCACCATCATGATTAAACAGTGTGGCATTGGCACAGGGGCACCAGACTCACTAACAGAAGACAACAGAGCCACAGAAACAAGCCCATATACATGGAAACATGCTCATGCATAGAAGTGGCACTGCCAATCAGATGCTGGTGTAGTTGGTTACACACATGTGGAGAAAAAAACACTCTCTTATTCACACCACATACACAATTCAACTCCAGATGAATAAAGACTTAAAGTAAAATGCAAAGCACTAAAATTTTAAGGGGTGGGGAGAGTAAAAAGTACTCTCTGACCTTAGATCAGAAGGAAATTCTTTCAGAAAACCCAATACACAGAAATCACAAAGGAAAAGATGGATGCATTTTACTAAATTAAAATTAAAACCTCCCATTCACCTAAAACACACTACAAATAGGATGAGCAAGGATGAACCACAAACTGGGAGAAGAATTTGCAACTCACAAGCCAACAAATGATTATTATCCTAAATATATAAAGAACTCCTACAAATCACTAAGAAGCCAACAGAAAATGAACCAAGAGACACAAACAGGCATTTCATGGAGGGGGTGGGGGAAGAAACCTGAAGGGCCAATAATGAGCTGAAGATAAGCTCAACCGCATTAGTAATCAGAGAAATTCAAACGAAGACCATAGAAAATCACCATTTTATACAAACTTGTCCGGCAAAAGTTAAGACGACTGGCAAATGCTGATCTGGATGCAAAACACCGGAGAGGCTCACACACTGCTGCCAGGAGGATACGCCACTTTGCAAGACAATCTGGCTCTGTCTTGTCAAACTGAGCAGGCTCACACTCCACAATCCAGAAATTCGCCTTAAAGAATCTCCCATACAGGTGCCTGTGGAGGCTCATAAAAACACTCACAGATGCCTCGCGATGGCCCGCCAGTGAGCTAGAAACACATGGAGTGAGTAGTTGTGAAGGCCAAATGGATAAATAAATTGTGATCGCTGCATAAAATAGAATACACCAAGGAAAATAAGTGGGCCATGTGGGCAAAGACTGGAAATTGGATGAAACAATCTGAAAAACACAATCTATTTTCCTTTTCTGAAATCATTTTTACAAAACGCCAGCATGAGCAAAAACCATCGAATGCACAGTTCGGGGGATTCAGGCACATCTGGTAAAACTAGCCCCTAAAATGCAAGAAAGTGATCACCACAAATCTCAGAAGCAAGAGGGGGACATAAAGAGCACGGGCCAGATCACGTTCTCAGCCATCAGGGGGGCTCGCTGGGGTTCCTCTGCTATGATGCCACACACTGTCATCAAGCATCACGGATTCCTTTCTGTACAGGGGTCAACACTAAATGAGCAAGGGGCTTCCAAAACTCATGGAAAAATGGAATGGAGAGAGGATGGAATTTTTCCACAAACTTTTTGAAGCCCTCGTTTATGAGAGGGAGCCTAAGCTCCTAACGCCCAATCACCACAGCAACTCCAATTCACTACCAACCAAAAACCAAAGCCCTGCCGTGGGGGCCGTTCTGACTCATAGTGACTCGAATAGGACGTGTGGGTTTCCAAGGCTAACTCTGCTGACCTTGCAACTAGCAGCCCAATGCTTAACCCACGGTGCCACCAGAGCTCCGAAACTCTTCCTATAGGCCAGGCCCAGCACCAGCTAGCTTCCACACATCCTCTCATTCAGTCCACTCGGCACACGAGGGGCACAGGTGAGCTTTATCTTCATTTTACCTATAAAAACAGAACTTACACGGTGAGCTGAGCACAAGCCCAGGTCGGAGACTGCTATTAGGCCCTGGCTCTCCCGCCTGTCACACAGCAGATCCCCTCTGCTCACACAGCAGCACTCTCTCCCGAGGCCCCTCCGTCCTGTCCTCAGAGCACTTTTATCACCTTCCACTGTTCACTTGAGTAGAGGGCCCTGCAGGCCCTTCCGTACAGCCATGAGGCTGCGTCTTCCCACTACAGTGCCAGCACTGGTTCCCAGCAGGAGCTTAATGAAGGCTCACCTTTTGGGTAAGGGGTTTGCAGAGCTCACCTGCAGTGGGGAGGGTCCTGGAGGGGACAGGTGTTGTTCAGGGGTCTGAGGGAGGGCGGGGCAGGGGGCTCACCCCGGGGGCTGTAGCCGTGGGCGTCCATGAAGGAGAGGCCCAGCCGCTCGTCCTCCTGCAGGGTGCTCTGGTCGGTGAAGCTCCGGTCCACCGCGCTCATCATGTGGGTCTTCTCCTGGCGGTAGTTGACCGTGGCCTTGGTCATGTTCACTGGCTTCCTGCAGAAGGGGGGTGGGAGACCCAGGGGCTGAACCGGGTGAGACAGTGCCCAGTGGGTGGGAGGCCTGGAAGTCGGCTGTCTAGTGGCAGGCAGCTATTCTAGAAACATCCCTGGATGACCAGGCAGCTCTGCCTCCATCCTGCCAACCAGACCCAGGGAGATGCTACCCCTGGAGAGGCCAGGAGGGCCCCTGCCTGGGACCTGGGCAGAGAGCACGGGGTAGGGCAGCAGTGGCCCCAGGCTCCTGACTCCCTTGCATCCAGGCCCAGCTTGATAAGGTAGGAGGGCAGTTTGTGACTCTGGAGGAATATGGAAAACAGTGAGAGAGAACCCCGGGGCGCAGGGAGCCAAAGGACTCAGCTCTAGGGAACAAGGGGCCAAATGACAGGCAAAGGGGATCGTAGTGGCACCTGTGATGGGGTGAGAGAAGCCCTCACAGCCAATCATAAAGAAGGCTGGAGACCAGAGAGCCGCCTGTCAGCTCGGCACCCACAGCTGCAGGAGGAGGGCAGACCTGGGGAGATCCTGGCCATCAGTAGGGTAGGAGACAAGGCAGGTGGGGGGAGAAGGCAGGAGCCAGGAGTGGGGAGAGAAGCTAAGGACTGGGTGGGTGCTGAGGAGGAAGAGGAGAAACTGGGACAAAGAGGGAGCCAGGGTGCAATGAGGAGAGACAGGGAGGGGTCTACGCAGGCTGAGAGGGAAGGA